TCAGCAGGACTCCTTGAAAAAGCCAACAGCAAAAGGAAATTACTTTCACTTCCCTCCCTTTTATCCATTCACTGGAGTTCTCAAAATGATATCTGCTCATCATTCATGTGATTTTTTTCTCTGTGATATTTTTATAGTGAACAACGAACCCTCTTCCTCCCCCTCCCCCTCCCCTAGCAATCCCTTGATTACCAACTTACCTAGTGGCAGAACAATGAAGAAGGGTAGCCAGCACAGGATAAACATGCCGACCACAATTCCCAACGTCTTGGCTGCCTTCTTTTCTCTAGAGAATTTAAAGAGTTTGAAAGCTAAGGAGTTCCTGGGATTGTGACCCTTGGATTTGTTGCTGTTTAATGTATCCTCATGAATGTTCTTGTAATGAATCCGTAAAGTCAGCTCCTTGGAGTTGGACATTTCTTTCATAACCCCAGCTTCCAGGTTTTTAGTAGTCCTTTTTGCCACTATGTAGACCCGACAGTACATCACGAGGATGACAATTAAAGGAATGTAAAATGATCCCAAGGAGGAAAACAAAGCGTAGAATGGTTCTTCAGTGATACGGCACTCTTTATCGTCCTTAGGTGCCGGTTCTTTCCAGCCCAGAAGAGGCCCGATAGAAATCACCATTGAAAGGACCCAGACGCCCAGGAGAGCTAAAATTGCCCTTCTTCTCGTTACCAAGGTTGGATACTGGAGGGAGTAACGTACCCCGATATATCTGTCTATGGAAATGGCACACAGACTTAAAATAGAAGCTGTACAGCAAAGCACATCAACTGCTGCCCAGATATCACAGAATATCCTCCCCAAAACCCAGTAGCCGAGGATTTCCAGTGTAGCAGAGAATGGAAGGACAGTAAAACTCAGCAGCAAATCTGCTATTGCGAGGTTAATTATGAAGTAGTTTGTAGGAATTCTTAAATGTCTATTGCAAGCAACAGAGAGAATTACCAGGATGTTACCTATAATAGCGAAGAGTATGAAGGCACCTAGGATAAGCCCCACAATTACCGCCCTGCTGATATCCAAGGCAGGTGAATCCAGATGGCTTGCTGTCTCGTTGGAGTTGTTGGCAGAAACATTGCCATCAGTGGGTGCAGACACCTTCAGATATCCAGGTATCGATGAGTTGGATTTAGGGTAGGTATTCATCTTAGAAATCGTCCTCCATAGCAAGTTGTGCTGGGATCCCTTGCGCAGCAGGCAGGCGATTCGGGCACGGTGGAAAGTTACCTCCGTGCCCACG